TATGGAAACCAATTTGACAATAAATTTCATATTTAAAAAAAATACATTTATTCCAAGTATTCCCATTCTGAAATTGGGGGATTTGAATGAATAAGAAACCATTGATAACATTTTAGGATAGGTTTTTAAAAATAAGTTGTAGCTAAAATCCCTTTTAAAGAAAATTCTTAATTTTTTATTTTATATTCGTCTGGGTGTGTAACCTATGAAATTCTTTATTTTTTAAAAATGTTTATTTTGAGAGAGTGAGAGAGGATGCACGCTCGCACACAAGTAGAGGGAAAGGCAAAGAGAGAATCCCACACAGGCTCCATATTGTGAGCATAGAGCCCAGCTCAGCACTCAATCCCATAAACATGAGGTCATGACCTGAGCTGAGATCCTTATTAAAAGTTAGATGCTTAACCGACTGAGCCACCCAGGGTCCCCATAATTGTTCATTTTACAAAGTTATTTTGGAAATTAAGGGTATTGTCAGTATTGTGATTGATGGTAAAATGTATACACTATTCTCTTGGTCTGAATACCTTAGAATTATTTCAGATATTTATTTTATTCTTAGTTTTTTAGTAGTATAGTGTGAATAACAGAATTAAGGGATATTTCCTCACCTAAGATGTTCAGTAATTACACCTGTGAGAAAAGAGTTTGTCATGTGGTTATTCATATTTAACTGATATTTTTCCATGTTTGTTAAAATTCTGTTCACAAATACAAATTTGTAAATTTATGTAACAAAAAGTTAACTCACCTGTGGAATTTTTTTTTAGATTCTGGGATTGGTTTGGATCTCCTAGAATTTGTCTAACAAATTGCATTTTAACTTTTTTTAAAGGGTCAAAGTTTACACAAAAACTGATGGACTAGTTGCTATTCATCCTAAATCTGTTAATGTGGAGCAAACAGAATTTCACTACAACTGGCTTATCTATCACCTGAAGATGAGAACAAGTAGTGTAAGTGAATATTTAACATAATCATGCACCTCGAACATCGATCTTTTTTACAGTTGCGTATTTCTCACAATTATGAACAAAATTTGTTCTCTTCTGAAAATTTTTCTTCTGACATGAATTAAGGCTTTTCCTTTTTAATGTTTATTTATATATTTTGAGAGAGAGAAAATGCATGCGTGGGGGAGGGGCAGAGAGAGAGAGAATCCCAAGTATGCTCAGCCCTGTCATTGTGAGCCTGCCAGGAGGTGGTGGCTGTGGGGTGTGGAAGGACTCAATCCCATGAACTGTTGAGATCATGACCTGAGCTGGACATTTAAGTTACTGAGCCACCCAGGCGCCCCGAATTATAACTCTTTGAAGAAAATAATCTAGGGGCGCCTGGGTGGCGCAGTTGGTTAAGCGTCCGACTTCAGCCAGGTCACGATCTCGCGGTCCGGGAGTTCGAGCCCCGCGTCAGGCTCTGGGCTGATGGCTCAGAGCCTGGAGCCTGTTTCCGACTCTGTCTCCCTCTCTCTCTGCCCCTCCCCCGTTCATGCTCTGTCTCTCTCTGTCCCAAAAATAAATAAAAAACATTGAAAAAAAAATTAAAAAAAAAAAAAAAGAAAATAATCTATATTTTTAATGTGCAGCAGGTCTATCACGATGGATCTTTGTATTTTATTTAATTGGGACAGTTACTTGCTTTGCATAGTTTTCCTTCAGAGCCTGTTTTGAATAAATACTGGCATTCTCGGGTATAGGGGTTTACACCATATTTTGCTGATATTTCAATGTATCAAGTATTGGTCAGAACATTGAGTGAGATTCTGTTTATATATAGATAAAAATAATTTCAGATACATTAGTGTTTTCATTGTGTCACTCAGGAAATATTTTTTTTAAAGAACAGTGCTATTTGAATTGAAACAAATATAAAACTGTGTTCTCTGGATTAATGAAGACTGGCTAGTTTAAAATGATATATTCTCAAAATTAGTTTCAGTAATCACAGTAGCAGGATAACACCTGATTTAGAAGGAAAGCACTAATATCATTAGTACTGGTGGCAGTGAATCAATGTGGCAATAATCTTTCAGACTCCTGAGCATTTTAGTTTGCTTTAATTCTCATTACAGATATACTTGTATGACTGCACAGAGGTTTCCCCATACTGTCTCTTGTTCTTTGGAGGTGATATTTCCATCCAGAAGGATAATGATCAGGAAACTATTGCTGTAGATGAATGGATTGTCTTTCAGTCTCCAGCAAGAATTGCCCATCTTGTTAAGGTGACTGACTTTACATGATTGTCTTTGAATCTGCAGGCAAGTTAGCATGTGATCTTGCGGTTTTGTCCCAAGTGTTATATATGTCGCATTAAACATTTCTTGCTCTATTTGAACAGAGCAAATGGTGTTGAGAAATTGATGCAGTTTCTCAGAATTGTTTTTTGAGGTATTTATGGACCAGCCGTTCTAAACGGCTCGGTGTGATTGAAGTTTGAATTTTTTAACTGGAGTATACTTGAGTTGGCTACTCATAACCACACTTTAGTTAGTTGCTCACTAAATATTTCAGTATTATGTATAATAGCTTATAAAATTCCTTGTAACAGCTAAAGTCACTTTTATTTATTACTCCGCTTAATAGTGTATTTGCCATTGTTGAACATATGTGATTTTTCCAACCTTAGGAATTAAGAAAAGAACTAGATATCCTTCTGCAAGAGAAGATCGAAAGTCCCCATCCGGTAGATTGGAAGGACACTAAATCCAGAGACTGTGCAGTACTGTCAGCTATTATAGACTTGATTAAAACACAGGAAAAAGCAAGTCCCAGGAACTTTCCACCACGGTTCCAGGATGGATATTACAGCTGACAACTCTTCTGTGGTGGTCTGAAACTTTGACAGCCATTTTCCATCATAGTTTAATTTTTGGCTAGATGCCAAACCACGGGACATGAATAATTTCCATATGTAAGGTAGAAATCTTCAGTAGGTAGTAAAGATGTAATGTGCATGATTTAACAATGTTATCTGTAGCTATTATAAATATATCATAAAAAGCAATATGTTTTCTGATCATATATTCTGTTGTGGTCATGTCCATACTTTGGGAGGACTGCTCTTATATATATTGAGTGTTGTACCACTTGAGAAATGCCTTTGTTCTTTTAAGAAAAGTTAATCTTTCTGCCCATAATGACTGAATACAGAAACCGGTAAAAAACAGAATGGTTAGCCAAAAAGCAGTATCAAGTTAAAAATTTGAACACAACCACATTTTTAAGTAAAACTTCTATTAGAGGTAAATTAATCTGTTGTTATAAAGCCCAGTATTTAATAAAATGTACAGTGTATAAATCTCATCTAGCTTTTTGGCTTGGTTTCTACATCCATCTATCCTTTGGCTTATTTGATTTTTTTAATCTTTTTAGAATATATTTGTACCCCTTTTCCTTTACCCGGTGCAGCATAATGTAGCAATTGAGAACATGAGTCTAGACTTGACCACCTAAGTTCAAATTTCAGCTGTGACTTACCAGCTCCCTTGGGCAAGTTACTTGGCTTTTCTCTTTTCTTTATCTGTAAAATAAAGGTAACAATTGTTGAGGATCAAATATGTTAATGTAAAGTGCCTAGACTAGTGTCTGGCACATAGAATGTATTCACTAAATCTTAGTTATTATTTGTCCCTGGATTTTATTTTTTTATAGCAATCCATTTTACATTCATTTTTGTGTTCTGAGTTCTGCTTTACCCTCTTAACCAATGGAAGCTAGCGTGACAGGGCTAGTGATAGGCTAATATTTTCAGCCTTATCAGACTGTGATAAATACTGTTGGTTGCTATCCAACAGCCATTTTTTCCTCCCCATTCGCTTGACTGGTCAAGTGTTCTTCCTCTACATAGCCTTGTGCCCAGGGGTATTAGACTCTCTTCCTCAAGGGTAACTCGGACTGTTAAGCCAGTTCTGCATGGTCTTATTCTCCTTAGAAGTAACTGATGAGGCATGAGTATGTGAACCTGTGTTGTCAATAGCAACTGACGAGTGATCTGCGAGAGGGCATCTGAGAAAGATTTTCCTCACTAGTAGATTTAGAGGAGGAAATTTTCTCCTGTGGACATTGTCTTATCCGAATCTGGCACTGCTGTAGCCATTTTAGGATTCCAGGGGATAATGATGTTGGCTCAGTGGAAAGATATAAATCACTACAGTCCTTGATAATGCTAGTGAGCTGCTGAATTATCCAGTTCTAGATTTGCCTTGCACGTGGACTTATTTTAATATCATAAACCCTTCTTCATTGAGTTAAGCCACTTTTAGGTAGTATATTGTGTATAACTTGGCAGAAAGCATATTAACTGAAACACATGGTCTCCATCATTGAGTGTTTGCTGCGGCCTCTGTTTCTACCATTTCTTTTGTGATCTAACAGTTTGAACCACATGTCTGACAAAAGGTGTAAAAGTAGTGAACCTGAACATACCGCAAAAAGAAAAGAACATCCTGCTGCACTCTAAAAAATTCAAATTTTACTGTGCCTTCCAATAAATGTAAGGAAACCAAAGGAAGAGTATCGAATAATAACTGGGATTTATTCATTATGCTATGGTGATTTGAGTAACAGCACTGGTTCAGGTACTGCTCTCATTTCTGGGAATGTGTGTCAACCTATCCTTATTATCTAAAGGTTTTGAATGTACTGTGTCCTAAGTCCATTCTCTTGGCTAGTCTCCCAAAAGTGATCTTTTACTGAATTCTTGCATTGAGTCCTATGACAATATTGTGGTTTTGTCCCTAAACTCAAGGTGACCTGACCATTGGGTCCCATTTGCTCTATGAGTGTTTTTATGTCTGCGTATGTGTGTTTTTTCTTGCTTTTACTCTCCAGTTTAAATTCACAGTAGGCCAAAATGGTCTTGGAAGAAAGCATTTAAAGAATCTCTTTTAAAAAAAAAGGGATTATTACTTAATTGGTTCCATGTTCCCAAACCAATATTTAATCTCCATATGAATGAGGAAAATGTTCCTAAAGAATTGTTTAAATCAGCTATTGAGAGAGATTAAAGCGGTTACTATCACTCTCAATTTATGTCTTCTGTACAGCTGATCAGGATGGAAATCTTGATTGAAGGTGCTATTTGTGTTGTTTCTTTTGTTTACAAAATAGTATATTACTGAGTGGAAAATTTTGTTCCAGATCTAAGTACTATTTGTTATTTAGTAGTTTTAAAGAATCAAGACATTTAAAAGAAAAATCTATTTGCCTCACCATTCTTAGCAATACCTAGAACTCTTGAACTCTTGAACTCTGTCTAGAATAACTAAGACAGAAACTTGGGTGGGTGGGGGGAACAAAGAAACCCCTGAGTAATCTTTAAAATGTGTGTTTGAAAAGTGAATGCATGTAATGCTTCCTAATTCATTAACTTGGGCAAAAGCTCTAGATACGTTTATACCTGTTACAGGTGATTTTCTGTTCTTCCTATATTTTTAAAACAAAGTCCACCCCAAAAGCTAGAAATTATTGAAAAGCTTTAGAATGAATTTATTTTAGTACCCCTTCACCCAAAGTAAATCATAAATTTTCTTCCACTCTTTTAGCTCTGTGTTTGTGTATATTTATTTTTAAGTAATTGTGATCATGTGGTATAATATGCTAATTGTTTTTAAATATTTTTATTCTGATTTTAAGACAGTAAACCCTTATTTGTAGAATATTTGGGAATTGAATATATGAAGAAAAGCATGTTACCACTGTTACCTTTTCATGTATTTCCATGCTTTTTTTTTTTAGCTTTAAGGAATTATTTTATATATAATAAAATTTGCCAATTCAAGTGTATAATCCCATGAATATTGTCAACGTATAAAGTCATGTAATGCCTGCCACCATAATCCTGATATAGAACATTCCCATCACCTAAGTTTTCCTTTTCCCCTTTGCAGTCATTCCCCTGCCTCTATTCCTACCCATTGACAACCATTGATCTGCTATTTGTCACTATTTTTGCCTTTTCTAGAATTTCCAGTAAATGGAAAATCATATTTAGTCTTTTGTGTCCAGTTGCTTTTACTTAATGCTTCTGAGATAGTCATGTTGTTGCATGTGTCAGTAGTTTGTTCCTCTTTTATTGTTTAATTGTATTGCCTTGTATGGTTATACCATAGTTTGTTTATTCTTTGACTAGTTGATGGACCTTTCAGTTATTTTTTATTATTATTATAAATAAAGCTGCTGTGAACATTTGTATACAAGGCTGTGTGTAGATAAAGGTTTTCATTTCTCTTAGGAAGATACCTATGATTAAGATTGTTGTATCATATGGTAAGTGTGTTTAACTTTGTAAGAAACTGCCAAACTGATTTCCAAAGTGGGTGTGCTATTTTACATTCCCACTGGCAATATATGAGGGGTTCCAAGTGTTTCAAATCCTTGCTAGTACTTGGTATTTTTGTTATTTGGTGTTGTTTAAGGTTAGCCTTCAGTAGATGTGGAGTCCTGTATCATTGTGATTTTAATTTGCATTTATTTCTATAATGATTAGGGATACCAATCTATAGTTTCCTTTTTGTGGGGTAATGGTGGCCTTACAAAATGTGTTGGGAAGTCTTACTCTTCCAGTTTCTGAAAGAGGTTTGTATAGAATTGGTGTTAATTCCTTAAATGCTTGTAAGAATTCCGTGAGGGGCCCTTGGGTGGCTCCACTGGTTAAGTGTCTGACTCTTGGTTTCGGCTCAGGTCATGATCTCACAGTTTTGTGAGATCCTCGAGCCCCACATTAGGCCTTGCGCTGACAGTATGGAGCCTGCTTGGGATTCTCTCTCTCCCTCTCTCTCTCTCTCTCTCAGAATAAAGAAGTAAAATTATTAAAAATATTCTCCGGTGAAACTGCACCTGACATTTCTTTTTCAGAAGTTTTTAGACAAATTCTATTTAGTAGTTAGGGGACTATTTAGAGCTTTGGTAGTTTGTGGTTTTCCATGAGTTGGCCCATTTTATCTTAGTTGTTGAATTTATGAGTCTGAAGTTGTTTAAGTATCTCTTTATCCTTTTAATGCCTGAGGAATCTGTAATGATGTCCCCTTTCATTCTTGACACTGGTAATTTTTATTATTAGTCTTGCTAAAAGGTGCATCAGTTGTGTTCACCTTTTCAAAGAACCCATTTTTTAATTAAGTTGTTTTCAAAGATTTTATTAAAGATTAATCACACCCAATGTAGGGCTTGAACCCACGACCCTAAGACCAAGAGTCACATGCTCCCCCAGCTGAGACAGTCAGGCTCTCCTAATTGAGTTGTTTTCTAATTATGGAGATTTGAGAGTTCTTTGTATATTCTGGATGCCACTGCTTTATCAGGTCTGTATTTTGCAAGATTTTCTCCTATTCTGGATTATCTTTTCTTCTGTCACAGAGCAGATATTTTTTTATTTTAACAAAGTTCAGTTTATAATTTTTTTCTTTCATGCATCCTGCATTTGGTTGTCAAAAAAAAAAAAAAAAGTCACTGCCAAACCAAAGATCACCTAGATTTTCTATGTTACTTTCTATTTACATATGTGTGTATATATGTTTATTTTTGAGAGAGACAGTGTGAGCGGGGCAGGGGCAGAGAAAGAGGGAGACATGGAATCTGAAGAGAATCCGAAGCAGGCTCCAGGCTCTGAGCTGTCAGCACAGAGCCTGATGCAGGGTTTGAACCCACAAACTGTGAGATTATGACCTGAGCCGAAGTCGATGCTCAACTGACTGAGCCACCCAGGCACCCCTTCTGTGTTACTTCCTAAGGGTTTTACAGCTTTTGTGTTTTACATTTAAGTCTAAGTTTCCAAGTGGTTATTTTTATTACTTATTTCTAACCCAAGTGTAATCATAGAACTCTGTATACAATTTCAGTCCTTTAAAATTTGTTGAAACTTGCTTTATGACCCAGGAAATGGTCAAATGTTTTAATATTCTGTGTGTTCTTGAACATATATGCTCAAATTGTGATGTTCTATATATGCCTATTAAGTTTTAAATTATCGTTAAGAACTCCCACACTTTCATTGATTTTTATCTCCTTCTACACTTTTATTTTTATGTAGCAAATGAGAGAGTTAAAGTGTTACAGGCTATGATTTTGGATTAATTTCTTAAATTTCTCCCAATTTTTGTTTTATATATATTGAGACCATATTATTGAGAGAAAATATACATGGATTTTATCTTCCTGGTTCACTAAAACTTGCATCATTATCTAGGGTCTCTCTGTCCCTAGTCATACCTTTTATCTTAAAACCTATTTTGTCTAATATTGACACAGCTACATGTAGTAAATATTGTGAATATTGGGATGTTCTGCCCAGTTCCTCCCTCAGGACTGAAGGAATATGTCCTTAGCTGCTGCAAGTGCTGTCAGATGACTGCCTTCACCCATCAGCCCTCTATAGGAATTGTCCTCAGCTGATGGGAATCACCTTACCCAAGGCCACTTCCCCCTGCGGAAAGCCTCCATCCTATGACCAATTAGAGCAGTTTCTAAAGGTATAGTCCCTTTTCCAATGCTCCCTGTCTCTCCACTCATCTGGGACTCCAAATGAACCTCTGCATTTTCCTGATCTCTTCTCTATATGCTTCTTTGTGGGTGTTTCTCCTAGCCTCTCTTCCAGTTCACCAACTACCTAATCTGTTAAACCTAGTTCCATAATTTCTAGTGGTGGTGGTTTTTTTCCCCCCTCAGTTGCTTCTTACAGCTGTTTTGTACTGTGTTGCATTTTAAAGTTTGGCTGAGATTTATCTCTATAAAGGTGGTGGTTATAATTGTTCTATGCATGTAATGATTTCACTAGAGTCCCTGTAAGTATGTTTTTTCTGTATCATTTGTGTCTCCCAAATGTTTGCTAATTTGTGGAACCTTTTGAGAAATTGTTTTTGGAAATAACTGAGAACTAAGAGGATGCTAGCTTCCTGCAGAGTAAGGCTTAACTTGCTTTTGTCAGGACCTCAGTGTGCTAGAAGCCCAAAGTTTGCGGTCCTCCAAGCTCATATCCTCACTCCAGAACAAGCCCTTTGGAGATTTAATGCACAAGAGTGATAACTGTAGGCACTAAACTCTGCCCTGCGTTATTTGGCACTGCAGTCCCCCAAGTGGCTCTGCCTCTGCTGCTTTCTAAAGTCCGGGGAAAACACAGGACATTTGGGATACGGAGGAGGGAGTAAAGAGGGGAATGGATCTTGCTAGGTTCAGAGAAGGTATACCCATCTCTTTCCTCTTCCGTCACTGGCTTGAGGAAAAATCCAACAAAGATGCCTTTGGTGTTTCCTATCACATGGCTGTATTATGACTAGATACATGATACAGGGGAACTAATTAGCGTTTTACGACTTACAAGTGGTGGTGTAGGCAGAATTTTAACATGACCCACATTATCCCTGCCCCCTCCCCCCACGTGTTGGATCTGTGGTTATGTGATGTTGCATGGTAAAGGAATTTTGTGGATCTAATTAAGGTCCCAAATCAGTTTATTCTGAGTTAATCCTAAGAGTGATTATCCTGTTGTAGGTCTAATAATTATGTGAGTTCCTTAAAAGCAGAGTTTTCTCCAGCTGGTAGCGTAAGATGGAGTCAGATTGCAAATGTGAAAAAGATTAAACATGCCACAGCTGCCTTGAAGATGAAGGAACAGATCCAAGAAGCTGTGAGCAACCCCCACCCCTGGCAGCCAGCAAAAAAGCAGGGTTCTTGGTCCTACAACTACAAGGAACCGAATTCTGCCAGCCACAGGTATGAGCATGAAAGATACCGAGCTCTGGCTGAGAAAGCAGCCAGCCAACACTTTGATGTCAGCCTAGTGAGACTGAGACTAAGCAGAGAACCTACCATGCCATATTGCCATATTGGCCTTCTTACTACACAACCGTGAGATAATAAATGGGTGTGGCTTAAGGCATAAAGTTCGTGGTAATCTGTCATGCAGTAAAAGAAAATACAGGAGTCAGTCTTCGCCTTCCACCAAGATTCACAAAGTGGTGAAATTTCACAAGCACAAAGGTTTGGCTACTAGGTGGCCAAAATGAGTAGGATGTAACGGAGAACCACAGACTACTTAAGATAGGCTGTTCAGTTGTGTAGTTTTGTGGAAACTGAGAAGAAATCACGGCCCAGCTCCTTAGGCCCCAGCCTTCTGGGGCAGCTGATGCCACCATGTACCCAACAAGGAAAGATCAGTGGCCTCGAACGTTAGCTATAGATCCCTTCTGAATAGACCTCTGATTTGACCCAAAATTCAGCAAATTATATACTTACTGCATTCTATAGTGAATTAAATCACACAAGTACTAAAGAACAAGTATATACAAAATCTTTATAAATTCACTTATTTCACCAAAAGTATACAAGCAGTATCAATTCACTGAGACAAAAATGAGTATTTTTGTTCTCCACAGGTCATTGAAGTCCTTGTACAATTCCAAGAAGCTATTCATAGAAACGGAACTAGGTTTGAAAACAGTACTGTGTCATGTAAAAATTACAATTCACTGTTGAAATTAAACATTGTGAATAATGTTAAGTACCTGCTGTATAACACTTTATCCAATAACAGTATTAACTGCTTGCTAAATAAGGCTTTGATTTATAAAATGTACATATTTCCAAGACTGTTTAACATCTCTACTTATAAATTAATTCACAGGATTCCTATAGTTGCTTTTTAGCTTCAAATGGATATTAGCGAAACTAATACGAAATGATCCCCTTTGCAAGCAATGAATTTACTTTCCTTCCTAAATGCAAACATCACATGAAATTAGATTAGAACCTTTTTAACCTCTCCTCTAAAGGGTCTGTGACATGAAAGAGGAGACCAATGCCTTGTTTACCAACCTGGAGACATCTCTTGCCATCAATTCACTGAGTGGCCCCGACCTCCAGGAACTCAGGGCCTGGCATGTCTTTTACATCCAGCACTGTATATGCATAAGCAAAGGAGAGCAAACAAGGGACCAGAAGGCCCCGTGTGAGCCAAGCATACTGAGCAACCACACTGTGCTTCTGCTTTACTCACTTCACTCATGATCTGGGTACCTGGTTGGCAGGCAGTAGATGGGACATGTCACACACAGATCTGAGTCCTCGAATAATGTACCCTTTGCCAGGTGTTTGTCCCTTTGTGGGAGAAAAATGGAGTAGAGAGGAACATAGCTGCCGGTAAAAGTTACTTTCCCCTCTCTCCATCTTCCAAACCGTCACTCCCTATGAAATGTACTATTAAAATTATTTTTCTCTCTCCTTGCACCAATGGAAGAAATGAAGTTCTGCAGACACCCACAGTTAAGAGATCCTCCAGATCCAGCAAACAAGACCCTTAGGACATATGAAACGGATTCCCATTAAGACCAAACTGTTATGCTTCAATTAGGTACCAGGCTGGCATCTTGATACCTTGGTGAGGCCTAAATTTTACCTTCCTTGAGACTGTATTTCAGCCAATTGCCTGTTTGGAATAGGAGTAGGAACAGTCAAAAATATTAAATTATAAAAGGCAAAAAATTATTAAAGGCAAAACAGCCTCATGTCAGTTTATCAGCTCACTTGGGAATATTTTTTAAAAAAGTACGACCCCTGTCCTACATTCAGGATTTTGTCACTTATGTGAACCATCTAAATCCTATCTTATTAGAGTAGCTCGAGTTTTATCAGGCTATACCAGTATTGGGTGAGGTGAATCTAAAAAGAAAATCTCCGAAGTAAGCTTCTCTCCTAAGGAGAAAAGAGGTGGCAAAAATTCAAGTGTCAATTTCCCTTTCCTGGGAAGAATTTTAGAAAAACTCAATAGCTCATCTTTTGAGCTCTGCCAGCTCCTTATGAAATCCTCATAGCATTAGAATCATCTAAAATATAAGAGGCAGAAAACATATTTACAAAACTGGGCATTCTTTAAAAACAACTCTTGCTAATACTGGGAAAACCATGTAAAGGAAATGTCAAAAGGGGGACAGAAACATCCTTGGCAAAGTGAGGAAAGAGAAGACCAGGGTACAGCATCTAATATACGTTTTTAATGCCAGAAAATGGTGAACGTAGGAGGAGCTGAGAGGCGGCCTGGTCCCTGAAGTGGACTGCTCGGCTATCTGCGGACCTAAGGAAGTTTGCAAGTGGATGGCTGTGCACACACCGAACCTTGCGAACCAACTGGTAGCTGTTCTCTTGAGAGAGCATAACCACCTGGCAAGCTTAAAGGCAAGTGTTTTCATTCTTTTAATTAAACAGGCTGTGTTAAAATTCACAACAAAGCCGGCCCAGAACCAAGCAGCCCGCTGTGATGTAGTGCAAATCTCGCGGTAACGCAAGGCCGTCGAGAGGCTACACATTGGTTTCCAGTCCTAGCAAGCGTCCCATTCTCTCCACGTTCTTGTCAATTGTAGCCTGACAGGTTATCTCCTTGGCACATTCCATAGGAAACCAGCCTCTCTCTCCGTCTCGCAGTCGTTCCCCCTCATACCAGCCTGCAAACAGGAACAGAGTCTTCATGAAGCAATGAGTGTCTGGATGAATCTGGACCCTGCCTGGCTCTGAGGAGGATGTACCCCAGCTTGTGCATGACGTGATGGAAGGTGAGGAGAAAGTGCAACACAGGGAAGGGCCTCAAGGAGGAATGAATGACATACCCGAGGTGGCACACCATCAGGAACCCTGAAGGGAGAAGGTTGAAGAGAGCCTGGGAGCTTGGGCTGGGCTGGAGAAGGGGATGCTGTGCATAGGTAGGGGCAGCAGGAAAAGGATTTTTTTTTTCCTTAAGTGAGGAAGGAAGAACCTCAAAATGAGAAGTCACTGGGGGAGTAGGAAGGAAGGGAAACATGGTTCCTTTTGAATAATACACCATGTGACTGCCTTCCTATTCAGAAACAAAAGCAATGGTGTCGCTAGAGGAAAGGCAGGAGCAAATGAGCAAACAAACCAAAGGGATATGAAATATGAGCGAGCTTTAATAATGAAATGAGACTCTTTGGTTCTTTGGCACCCTGAATGCTGCACCAGGAGTATCCCTAAGAACCCCCACTTACCATCGCTGACACGTTGATAGATGAGAACCACATCCGCCACCTGTAGGGAGAGTTCGTCTGGCTGTTTGGCAGTGAAGGATCTAATGATTTCTACCTGGGTCAGCGCTGCGGGGGTAAAGGGGACATACTAAGCTCCCAGTAGCAGAACAGGTACAAATCAATACAGTATATTTACTCAATCTTTCTGTGCAATTCAAGGCCAGCTTGACAGAAACAAGTTAAGTTTCTATCAAGCAGAAACTCTGTTCCTCGAACAGTCTTATTTGGCTAAGAGCTTTAGAACTTTAGAAGCTCAGGATCAAGAGAAGCCTTTTATGATGCATGCATCCCCTCAAAAATAACCTTGATAAGGAGCCATTAGTCATGTCACATAACAGAGCAGACAACAGCCATTGTGCATTGGGGAAACTGAGGCCAGACAGATTAGGTGATGTGCCAAGGCCATGCAACTAGTGATAAAATCTGCAGTACCCCCATTCTCCCGGTTCCCACCCAGGGGCTTTTCCCTAGTTCACCAGCACAGGAAAGCTGCCAAATAAGGTCAGAAATAAAAGGAGCTCCAACTGAAAGTCAAACAATATTTCAAGTTCTCCCAACGTGCTGGCTCATAACAATTGTAACTTCAGTGACTTGATACTGACATGAGTTCTTAATTTTTTTTAAACATAAAACTTGATTTTAGGCAACTTTTAAACCAATCACTTTAGCTTTGGCTCTCAGCTTAAAGCTATGATCTCTGAGTGCTCCAAGCTAACCACTCTGGCTGTCCTAGTTCTTTCGTTTTGACCGTCCAGCTAGAAACATCCAGAAAAACATAAAATCAAAGTCAAGGTGCTACTAAGCAAATGACACCACCCTTTATTTACTGCATCAGTTTCTACTTCCCTAGAAGAAGGAAATGTATTTTCTTAATGTTATCACTTTAATATATAAGGTCAAAAGGAATGGTAACATAATTTTCTTTAAGATTAAAAAATACATTCCACTTTGATTCAGACTGTCAGTATGGAGAAGGCTTAAACGTGCAACTCCTGCCCACTAACAACTGCTGAAAATCGAAGAGGTTTACAGTACAAGCAGAGCTTTCAATGTAAGTTACTTAACTTAATCCTGACAATATCCCTGCATTGTATATAGGGATACCCCTGACTTGCAGATGCACAGGCTCAGGAAGGCTGTGCAACAATTGGCCACGTTTATGCAACAAAGAACTGCACCTTGGATTTGAATTCAGACCCCCTGACCTCCAAGGCAGGGATCACACAGTTCTGACGTAGGGCCACAGGAAGGAAAGCCTGAAGGAAACTTACAGTGCGGGTATTGTGACCATTAAGCACTATTAACCCAGCGTCCAGCAGGGGGCACAGCCCCTCCACATTCCAGAGCAGGCTGCCCTCCAGGTACTTACAGGTTCGGTCCAGAGGTTGCTTCCCGCTACTGTGTCCCAGGGCAGTGATCCAGCGGGCTCGCTCGCTCCTAAAACACACAGAGCATATCCAACTGAGAGGTTCAAGGTGTCTGGACACAATGCAAAGCCATTCCCAGAAAACAGGGAGAGACTCCCCAGAGAGTTATGGGGGTGTATGAGTTATTTAAAAAGGATAACCTGGGGAATCTAGGCTGAAAATTAGTCAACACTGTTAAAACAGATTCTGAATGAATTTGACTAATTATTGATTAAACAGAATTTAAGTTTAACATTTTTAAATTTTTTTAATGTTTATTTTTTGTGAGAGAAAGACACAGAGCATGAGCAGAGGAGATGTAAAGAGAGAGAGAGAGAGGGAGACACAGAATCCGAAGCAGGGTCCAGACTCTGAGCTATCAGCACAGAGTCCGATGTGGGGGCTCAAACTCAGGAACCACAAGATCATAACCTGAGCTGATGTCGGACGCTAAACCGACTGAGCCATCCAGTTGCCCCTCAACATTTTTTAAATTTAAATTCAAGTTAGTTAACATACAGAGTGGTTTTGGCTACAGGTATCGAACCCAGTGATTCATCTCTTACATATGACACCACTATTTAATAAAGAGCTGATTACCCTATCACATAATCACATAAAGATATTTAGTATATTCAATCTGATATTTTAACATTTCAAAAAGGTGAATTTCATTTAAAAAAACTCCTAGTAAATCACTTTCTCTACACTCTCTTCTTTCCCCACACTCAAACCATTTCACAAAGATGAGAAACTTGACCTATTTAAAGTTGTGTAGTTCTTTATACGGCTAATACTGCCAAACATGAGCCTTATTGAAATAAAAATTCTTTGAACGTTTTTAGACTGTTCACAAATGCTTAAAATGGCTTAATGAATACAGCCAAAAAAATGTTGAGGGAAAAAACGAACTGGGACTTTTTATATAAAGCCATCATTACATGAAACAAAACAATTATTTAAAGGATCAGAAGTTTCAGATAAGCATTATTCCATAATTCAGTTATCCTCCGAAGGTCCAGTATCAAGATTGCAATTAAGTAAATAAGGCTCACACACACACTTTAAAATCTTTGAGGCACTTAGTAACTAACCCATACTACATAGCAGACACAAGCATGTGACATCCATTACTTCATGTAATCCTCCAAAAACCCATTTAAAGGATGAGAAAGAAGGCTGTGTGGAGGTCCCAAGGCAAGTGATACAAGTCGCCAGTTTTTATAAGGCACTCCACTGTCTTAAGAAGGGGCACCTTTATGCCTGTACTTGAAATACATTTTTTTCTCCTGTAACAGCTTGTACCTAAAGATGGTTGTCACCCTTGCCCCATCTTCTCCGCCCCTCAAGCATCCTTCCACACAGACTGCTTGTGAGCCTGGGGCATGCCACACTGTTCCACACCCTTTCCTGCCCGTTCCCACTCTCAAGTAGAACCTCTGTTTCCACCCCTCATACTCATCATTAATGAAGAACATCCATAAAACAATGCACTAATCTTAAGTGTATACAGATCTGTGAGTGCTTATGTAGGTGCACCCAACACCTTGTGTCCCTTTCCCATCAATAACCTCCCACAAAGGGAACCACCACCAGAGACTCATTTTACCTGTAGTGTACTTTATAATGGAATTCTTCAGCATGTCCACTCAATCTTGCAAACACAAGCCTCACCTTCTCCAGCTGGCCTCCTCTGATGCAGGAGCCCACACCTCCATCCCCATCCAGTTTGCCAATTCTGCTCCCACGCACTCCTCTGCTCAGCCCTATCCCGTTGCTGGCCAGCTGGAAGCCTCACGAAGGCAGGCATCTTGCCCGTTCAGTTCACTGCCGTATCTCCAGAACATAACCAAGGCCTATAAAGATCTGTTAACCGGATGATCATGACCACTCATCACATACTGACCCCCATTTAGTGGCTTGTCTGTTTCTCTTGGCCATAAACTTCAGGAGGTAAGGCATTGGGTCTTGTTCTAAATAGTTATTAGAGCACTTATGTGCCAGCTGTGCTACTTTTTTGTACTTGGTGAGTACCATCTAATTTAATCTTTAGGACAATACTGAAATTAAATATTACCATTCTTCCCCCCCACACCCTCCAGAGGACAAAGCTGGAGTGTTAATAAGCATTTGTGCACAGTGACACAGCTAAGTGATGGAGTCAGAAAATAAGCCAGGTAGGGTGCCTGGGTGGCTCAGTTGAGCGTCCGACTTCAGCTCAGGTCATGATCTCACAGCTCGTGAGTTCGAGCCCCATGTCAGGCTCTATGCTGACAGCTCGGAGCCTGGAGCCTGCTTTGGATTCTGTGTCTTTCTCTCGAAAATAAAATAAAACATTAAAAAAAAATTAAAAAAAAAAAAAAAAAAAGAAGGCAGTCTGGGATCTAGAAGGTGATGCTCCCTATCAGGTGCTCTCAAAGTAATGAGGGAAGTCAGGAAGGGTGGAAACTGCGATGTGCTGAAAGACAGACTTAGTTAAGAAAATGAGGCTGGGCCCTAATCAAGCTGATGCAGCAGGTAGTAATGTGCACAATTTGTGTAGAAACCGATGATACAGCTTGCTTTAAAAAACAAAACAAAAATAGTATAGGACACAAAGGGCCTCGGGGTGGTTTTATAAGGAACAAGTTTTATAAAGCACAGCCTTCTTTAAAATAATCTTAAGCCAACACTTAAATCCTTGATATCATCTCTGTCAGATATAAGATCTATTTTTTACTCGGGCTCAACTGGAAATTTCCAAAGTACAAAGGTAACTGAAAACTAAATAATACTGTACAGATGGAAAAATTGTTCACCAAGAGACATCTAAAATGATCCACGTGCCATTCCCAAACAAGTCAGCCTCCTCCTTGCCTTACCGTGCGTCTTCACACGGCCCTGACTCCTGTCTGCGGCCCTTCAGTTAGACTCCCAGGCACAGCCCGCCTCTGGCACCGAGTGGCCAGTTTCAGTGACAGGCCTGACCCTGCAGACAGTTTCCAGAAATCCAGATGAAACCTTTCACTCGTGTGGCATGCTGCCTGGATGCTAATGGCATCCCTTAGACGCGGCAGCCTCTCACAGAGACTCGAGAGGACAGAACAAGACACTCCTTGTTGCCCTCACTGAAAGGAGCCGCTTCTTGAAATGGCTTCAATGAAGCCAGTCCCACCCCCTCTTACATGCCGTCAAAACCGCACAACTTTCCCCGGGGCCTCCCAGAGCCCTGCCAAGGAGCTGCTTCCCACTATGCAGCAGAAAGCACTGCCTCCCTAAAGCAGGCAGGAGACTCCCTCAATATAAGAGGGAATTCTGAGAACAAAAAAAGCCAGGGCACAGACCTACCCATTATTAAACTGAGATATCAAGCCCAGGGCTCACTTGCAGACAGCTATCTTCTCCAGGGACAATATGAAACAATCAACATGAATTCACAGTCCACCCCACACCCCGTTCGCAGACTTTTTCCTTTGCCCAAATAAAGTGAGAGAATAAGTAACGCCACTCATGTGGACCTGGGCACATCAACGTCTAAGACACCTGAACGCTGCTCCCTTAGACCAACATCCACTGAGCGCCTCCTGCCTTTGCATGAGCCCTGTACTAAGATGGGGTTGCAAAGTGAGTAAAACAGGGTCTCTTGCTCTCCACAGCCTTCAGTGTGAAGGAGCAGAGAGGGAAGCAAACAAACACAAAATCCAGCACAGTATGCAGTGGGCTGTGGCGGAACATTCTGCTTAAAACACATGGCACCCAGGGAGAGAAAGAAGACTGAGAAGAGACGTTCCACATAAATATCTGCAAGTAGAGTCCTTTCCTAAGACCCGTGTTCTTCATGCACAGCATAAAATTAAGCACCTGCAGTTCCCTACTCAGGAGTCAGATGTGGTAGCACCATGGCCTGCCTCTCATACAATTAAGCACAGTAGGCTTAAACTTAATTGCATAAAGGTCGAAGTCACAAAGCTGGATTTCTCATTGAATGCCAGGCATCTGCTAGAAAAGACAGATACGTACTGAGAAAAATGGGAGAGCAGGCTTTGAAACAAAGAGGCAGGGCTGCAGAACAGACAGGGGCTGTTGAACCTTCTCTGTGTCCCTCTTACAGTGGCAGCTGGCCAGATACCTTTTGTGTTTCTTGTCACAGCCTACAAATTTACCTGGGGTTCCTTTTGAAACTCCTACACCCACGGCCTTTGGGGGAAAGTCCTTCAAGCCTTTGTAAAGAGCAGGTTTGTGAGGATGGTTGTTTTTGTTCGTTCCCTCACACACTCAGTTCAACCAGAGGAGTTCTGGTCCATGAAAGAAAACCCACAGGGTAAAAAAATGTCATCATGAATGCTGTGCATCAAAATCTTACAAAGCTGGACACATGTTCACAACTTACCTAATTTAAAAAATCTAACCAAAGCAATTCTCTTAGCCCACTAAGAGGGTTCTAAAATTCAGATTTTGTGACGTTATAGAATTAAGCCAATTATTTCTTGAATTATCTGTTTCCTCAATGATATGAGACCCATATCATCACCTGCCCTCCTGTTGAAGTGGGGCTGGTGATGACGATCACAGAAGATCATGTGCTTTGAGGGGCACTATGCAGTGTAAGAGATCATTCCTGGATGTGGATTCCAGATTCAACGAGGGGAAAAATACTACAACCTATGATAAATACATTTTTTGCACATAAATTACCACCTATTGTGGATTATTTTTTTTAGAGGATGAAGTACAAGAGCATGTCAGACATACTATGTACAATTTTATTCCACTTACTTCCTGTTGTTAATTAAATCATTAACAGAAGCAGGAAGGCCGCAGACTCCCTGGCAAACAATGCGCCTTTATGAGGAGGCCCGGGAATTGGTCATCTGGATGGCTGACAGGACCAGCCACATTCACAAGGCTTCTACTTCTTTCAGTGAGGGAGAAATTTTGAGAAGGATCTTTGATTATGGTTTAAGGTGATTATATCCTACAGCTCAACACAATGGGCAAAGAAAATGTGCGTTTGTCACTGAGCGTGTCCTGATGTCTCACGGCCGCATACAC